AGAAGAAAAATTCTCCTGAAAATATTCTAATCTATCATTTACCTACAACCGAGGAATATTTTAAAACTCGAGTTGATTCAGAATTATTTTATAATTCAAATTTTTAATATCAAATTTGCATGCTACTAATTTTTTTTATGAAATCATTATTTCTAGTATTATTTTTAAAATGATTATGTCATTTAATTCGTTTCAGATTTTTCGATGATTTTTATTGAGTTTTTTTTAAGACGAGTGTTTAAAGTGGAGAGAATTATTTTGAAGATTAATTAAAATTCATGTTCTTGATTTCAATAAAAATCGATCGGTTCCACTAATCTGGGTAAAGTTGTTTAACATGACGTAGCAGATGTTCTCGAAAGAACCAGTAGTGAAAGTCGAAGGAATGCTCTTCAATTCGATCAGGTTGCTGATGTGTACGTGTCTGCTCGAGTATTCCTCAATAATATTTAGTGATGCCTACGGTATATTCCAGGATTGAATTTATTATATCCACGAGAGCCAGTATCCAGGAGAAAGTCTGCGAAAAATTATTCTTAATTACTATTATAATTAAATCATCATCAACTATTCCAAATCGTTGGGATTCCTCGATATTAGCATTTTGCTGTCGCACCCGTGAAATATCGATGCGCAATCCGTGGATCATTACTCCTGCGTTGATTCGAAAAGAAAGTCGGTGAAATTGAGAATCCGAAGAAAGCCGTCTGCTAAAATAACCAGACTTTATTAATTATTTATGTTTTTTCTCGTCATCCACTTATTTCCAATTGCAACTCAGTGTCAATTCAATTCCAATTAATGAATTACTCGGGAATCCCCTAATTATTTCAATACATCAAAAAAAAAAAAAAAAATATATTCCAATTAAATAAATTTTAAAAACGAAATCCTTAATGAATCGATCAAAGCGTTGAATGAAAATTTTGTACGAATGAGGGCGTAGAATAAAATATATTCCCTAGCAATTCCTGCTTCTTCATTCAGATTGCGTTGAACCTGATGGTGATGGTGAGCCATGGGGATGCTGCAGTGACACAAGCGCCGATACCAATCGACCTGGAGGAAAAAACCGGGAGTGATTCCCCTGACGAAGAGCCTGACCCCGACGATGCGATTGCTGGCAGATCAAAAGACGACGATCTTCCGGTGTTGCCTCCAATAATTCTTCTGGACTTTGCGGACACCAACTCGACGTCCGATGAAAAAAGCAAGCGCACCGTTGACAATGGCCTTGGCTACGGCTACTTGAGGAACAACTTGTTAAACGGAAAGTACAATTACTACTTCCCAGGTGGTAAAACGGGTACAACAGTGAGTATCGAGGAATCGATAAGTCCATTCGAGCCGAAGACGATAATCGAGCAGTTCAAGCCGATGACAGATAGGCCTGACTACAGCAGTCCAACGACTACTTATCAGCCAAATGTCCAGGAAACACGAGGACCTCAGGTCAATCAGAATTATCAGGTCTTCGGGCAGAGAACGAGACTGCAGAAGTACTCACCCCCGGATAATTACAATCCCCAGGGTTTCACACCCAAGCCAATTACCTACACGACCCTTCGACCTGATTATCAAACGCCCACCCCTAAACCTCAAGAGATTTACTCAGGACTCAGTGACTACACGACACCGCGACCCATCTACGAGAATTACCAATCAACACCTGCAACTCCATCTTACACCGAGAGAAATTTTCCTGGTAATTATTATAATTATTTGAAGAGACATTTTATGAGAGATTCGATGAAATTCGCATGAAATATTCGTGAATATTCTTTTAACAATTATGATTCACTGAATAATTATTATAATTAGGAGTTATTGATTAATAATTACAGAGAATGTTCTCGAGTCTCTGGACTCGATTTTAATTCTCGAAATTGTCGACTTGTTGTCTAGTTCACAATCACCAGAGGCCCTACGAGACCCCGACGACAGGTCGTCCCCTCCCCGTGGACCCCGCGGCCTTCAATCTCCCGAGGTATACAGTAGAAAACGGAATAAGGTACGAGAATAAAATAATCTGGAAGTACCAGGACGGTAGAATCGCCGACGGTCCCCCGTCGTCGTTCGTCAA